CTTACGGAGAATAACGAACCAATTTGCTTCTCTACTTATAGATCCGAAACGATGATCCACCCGCCGACTTTAATCAAATCTGAGCCGTCAATTTATAGCCAACAAAAATCTAAACGGCTAAAAATCTCTGTTTTATACTCACCGTCAAGATTTAGATCTAACGGCTGTTAAATGATACGGCGCTCATCTAATGGAATCAGCATCTCTAATTATTTTGAGAAATCTCACGCGCGTGACGTATAAATATCCTCGTTTAGACCTCAATGAATACAATCAGCGAACGACACGTGTATATAAAGCGCGTGGAATAATCGCGGCTACCGACCGACAATGTCTCCACCACTTTTGACTGTTTTATCCACTTAACGCGCCTAGTAAATCGCGTTTGAACAACACGTGCCTTGATCCCCTGAAGGCTGAAACTTTTGATTTTAAGGCCCGTTTAAAACAAACCCAAGGCCCATTAGTCAATCTACAACAAATTGTACCCTTATACATGATTTTTTCTACGTTAATTTTTTTTTTTTTTTTGTATGGGCTTGTGGAGAATGTTATGTATCACCTTTGCAAAACGAATAACATGATGAAAAATCTACCCTCATGATTTCATTTCTTTCAACTTTAAAAACATATATTTGAGATTAGCAATTTAGAATCATAAAGAGAGAAACATAAAAGATCATTTTTCAAACAAAAATCCTAATCAAAGAAGAAAAAAAACATATGTTCAAGGCGAAAAATTAAATAACCAAAGCTATAAAGGACAATACAATTCATTGTGACTCCAAACGTTGATTAATACAAAACAGTCACAGACACAAAGCGGCTTTAACGTCAAGCCTCCACGCAAAACCACCACCGTCCATTCTCCACACGTCACAAGGCACCGTAACCGAACCTCTTTCACGATCTTGACACGTGTACTGTAATCTCACTCTGCATGTAAACGCCGGGTACGTTAGCATCGGCCTCTCTTTCATCACCAACCGTACGATCACGTGAAACCCATCGTAACTCATCTCCGGTGCACTTTCTTCCACCGGAATATTAACATCATCCTTAGCCATCTTTCTATACGCCTCATTGGTCCACGTGACTCTCCCTAAACCGTCAGATACAAAACCAGGACACGTGTCCCTCATCAGATTCATCTTCCTCTCGTCGTCCGTTTTCCCTAATCCATAACCGTCGATCCACGCGTCGGTTACACGTTCAACCGTCACACACGACGAAACAACCACCGTCCTTCGAGATATCTTCGTCGTCGTCTTCTTTAACGGCGTTAGCATCTCACCGGAGCTGAAACTCAACCATAACGGACCGTTACCGTTACGTTTCTGTTTCTCCAACGGAGAAACATTCAGATCTTGAAAAACACGTTTTTCAGGCGTCTCTGGTAATAAAGACAACGTAACCGCCGTTGAATCTCCGCCGTTTGAAGTTTCCGATCTCTTCTTCCGGTTACACCTCCGAGAGTTACTCTCTTTCTGATACTTCCTTTTTCCTCTTCCAGAGGAAACATCGGAGCTTCCACCGCTTGTCGTCGTTGTGGAGCCATGCTTTCCGGCGACCGGAGATCGACCTCCGCCGTCTGTAACCGGTTTAGGAGCAATCGGACGGAATCGGAGCATGATCCGATCGGCTTTTGAAAGACCGTAACGACCACCACCATAAACACCATATCTGGCTATGCAACATCCTCCTCTACCATCCATTTTTGTCTCTGTGTTTGTTGTGTATAGAAATGCTTGAGAAATTGTAGTAAGGTTTATTAATGGAGTTTTAAGTTGAAGAAAAGTGAAGAGGTGTGTGAAGGTTTATATAGGGACCCTAATGGTGCCAAGTGTTGGGTTAATACGCGTGTCCTTGTCTAGAATACGCTTATCACCGTTGCACATGGCGTTTGTTACTTTTTTCTGTTGAAAAAATAAACAAAAACAAATTTATATTTTCAAAATTAATATTCCTGAAAATATACATATTTTTTAATATTAATTCAAAGTTATATTGAAAAAATTAGATAAAAATTCACTTAATTCAAAACAAGCACATTGCGTAAAGAAAATGAAAACTAACATCTATATTTGATTTAAATAGTTATAATTTTATATGAGTTGCTAAATTTTTATTTTAAGTAAATATGATGCTACCAAGAGCCACCCAATCGGATTTATTACTTTTATAAATAGGCCTATCTAAGAAATGGTATTGATCACAGATTCTGGTCTTACGGTATATATTTAAGTAGTAGCTGATTAGTCAATAATCACTTTGACCCTTATGTTAATTACTACTCTATCTAGTGCCTGAACTGATTTGTTAGGTATTTCTTTGGCCTGAGACAGATATTTTGATGATAAATTATTTTAAAATTACAAAAGAAGATTGCCTATACATAAAGTTGCGTATGCATATGAGCATTTACGGATTCCCGTTGTAAATGTGATATATCTTAAAATTAAAACATAAGATTGTAATAAGCACTGTTTAGCAACAAAAAAAGGATTATAATAAGAACTCAACGTACAATACCACATTCTAAATATAATTTGTATCTTTATCACGAAACAACCAAAAATTGTTTAGCAAAAAAAAACAACCAAAAATATTTCACACCATGTTTTGGTTAAACGAAATCGGCATGGCATGTTTTGAAAGACAATCAACTCCAAAAAAAAAAAAACAGAGTGTTTAGTATCCATTACCAGACAACATTCACGATCAAATTCTTATATTTGATAAAATATATTCTGATTAAAACGACACACAACGTTCCAAAATGTAATTATTCTTTATTTTTTTTCTTTTTTGGTAAAACCAAATGTAGTTTGTGTTCAAACCTTCAATCATGAAGATGCCAAAATTAGGTTAGAAATGTAAGCATATATCGCAAGGGGGAAAAAAGGGGTGATGTTAGGCATGGTCCAAGATATGAGGGTTCATATATTATCATTGACCAATTCTGAATTTAATTGAGTGGAATCTTAATTAACTAAAGGTGATCGTGACTCTAGATCTCAAATCTTAAATGAGGGGACAAGATCGATGATCTCATGTCTAAAGACGAATTTTGTGCCAATAGAGTTAGGTCACCTCTTTTTAGGAAAAGAAGGAACAATAATTTCAAATTCATAGTACATAAGATTGTTAGAAAAAAGCATTTGTATAAGATTAGGTATTCACTTATTTGTTTTGCCTTTGTTTTCAATTAAACATTTTTTAAACAGGCGTTAACCTATCGACATTCGACATATATATGTGGCTTTTGTTATTTCCAATTACATACTCGTGTATTGAACATCGAATACACAATAGGTTTCTTTTCTTCCTATATACAAATCTAGTAACTATAGTAAGTTAAACATTTACTACTTTACTATCGACGCATTGAACAGTGGTACATAGATTC